GCAAATTTAATATAAGTAATGCTGAGTTACTATTTTCCAACATAACAACAGTCATAATTAAGAATATTAGTAAATATATCAAAATGAAACATTGCTATCAGAAAAGATACATTATCTGTACCCAGGGAAATGGAAAAACACCCCACATTTAATGTAAAGTTTTATGAATCAACAGCTTTTTATGGTTACTGACAAGTAAAATGAAGTTTCAGAATGTAAATAATGTGAAATGAAATTAAAATCTGTGTTTAAATACTCAGGGTTTGGCTTTATGGTTTGTGTGAGTTAAAATTAACGAATTGAAATATATTTTTGATAAGCAGCATTGTTTGAAGTAATGCGGTAATTGATAAATGAGTAGCTTTCCCAGTTCAAAATAAAATTTTAAAGAAATTAGAAGACTTTTCATACACTGGAGTGTAGGGGGCTAGAATATAAGAAAATAAAAGGTAGTGTAGAAAGTAATCCTACCCCTAAGGAGCTGCAGCTGGGCCAATTATCAAAGGTTAGCAACAGGCCTGCCTTTAACAGGTCACAGCTGTAACCAATGAGAAGAAGATGCTGTAAAAGAGTGGGGTGGGTCGTTGGGAGGGGAACTGGAGTCAGTGGCTGCTTTGTGAAGGTGAAAGAGTCAGTGCTCTGAGGAGATGACCATGAGAAACACCAAGAAGATATGAAACTCCTGTGATAAGGAGATAGACAGCCCCTGCAATAAGATGACAACATTGCAGGACTTTAAAGGCAGAACAGTACTTAATAATACAGTGCCATTCTCTGAAGTTTAGTGGTAAGCAGAAGATCAACAACTTTGTTTGTGATCAGCTAGGTGAAAGTTGCTCTAAGTGGTCCCAGTGTAAAGGACTGCGCAGCTCCCAAAGTCAGTCTCCTGTCACTCTGAGAGTGGCTCTGGAGCAGCAGGGGACGTTGTGAGGAGTGAAGCAGTGGCTGCTTCAAGACATCTCCAGGGGTTCTTGGTACTTCCACCTCCCTCCAAACGTGGATCATCACAAGAGTAGAGATTGCATCTGGCTGCAGTGGAGATTTATGTATGTTGGCTGCCTGGATCTCAGTGAACAGTTTAAAAGATTTTTAGCTCAAATTTTACGTTGAATCTATTCACAGTTAAGCTATTTTCTCTATGTGGGATAAAAGGCACCAAATGCTTTGTAATTTTCCACCCTGTCTTTTAAAGGTTTTCTGATCCTGGCCATGTTTGCAAGAGAACATTTCTTCTGTCTACAAAAGCATCTTTTAGTATCTCTTGAATCTTATATTAAGCTGAACTTTGTGAAGTGGTAGTTGCCTGTGTTTCACTTTGATTTTTCTCACTTTTTTATGTCAGTCTTATGCCAGATATCTGAGGAGGGCAGAGTCTCACCTCTCCCACCACAGCACAATGTCTTACCTAGAGCCATGGAGGCAGTCAAATGGGGTTTTTCTGACTCCTACATAGGTAATAGAACCCTTGGTTTCCCCTAAACCTAGGCTGGGGCTCAGGGGGTGGGAGTGGGATAGTTTAGTAACTCCTGCCTAAGAAGTAACTACCTTAGTAAAGAGTACAATCTTTTTGTCCAATGCTATTTTATTTTTGTATTAAGAACAAAATCAGAATTTTGTTAATTAAAATTTGTTAATTAAAATCAGAATTTTAAATAATTTTGTTTTTGACCCAACAGAAATAATGCTTATATCATGTTTTCAGAGTTCACACTGAAGTTCATTGTAACTCAGTTCTTATTTACTTAGAGCAAATGGGAAAATTATTGATGAAATCACTGAGGTGGTAATTATTTGATATCAGCTTCAATTATGTAGAAAACCTGTGTGTTTTTAGGCATTATTAATAGATTGTCATTTCCAATATGAATATGCATTTTTTACTAGTTTGCAGGACAAAGGAAGCATAATTAGGGTGGAAGAAGTGTTTCTTAGATACCCAGTATAAAATGCAGAGCCTGTTTATGTAACAGAATAAGTGTTGTGATGATCTGGACTATGGTTTGGCCAACTCTGTAAAATCAGATAAGTGAACAAAAAAAAAGGTTGTTACATCAAGGGGGAGGAAATAGTGAATTTTGGGACATTTAACTTATTTTCAGAAAGTAGATTGAATATGAATTTTATTTTGATCTCCTACACACTTCCCCCCTTAATCTAATCTGTATTCTGGTGGTTTGTATTTTCAAGAATTAATCAAAAATATGTTCTTGCCTTCAGTTTGTTTCTAAATGACACAAGAAGAACAAATAAACCTACCAAAAGGATGAGAAATGGTGTAACTGAAATTGTTTAATGCCTCATGCATTCTGTGTAAACTAAGAACATGGTATTGGCTTCTCAAGATTAATGTAAATGTACAAGATTTTTTCTGGACAAGGGAACATGCATTCTGCCAATAAATACTTTTGGATACTAAACTACTTTGTCTAATATTTCCAAGCCAGTGTTATATCTGATTAAAATAAAGGAAGAAATGCTGCCTGCTTAAATGCTTTTTTTTTAGTGATATTTGAACAAATAATTCCTGATTCCCTGGTAATTTAAAGAAGTGGCATAGCCTAACTATGCAGTGGATGTGGCCCTTCATTCCAAGATTTCCTGAGATGGCACAAAACCTACTGTTTATTTTGCTGTGTCATAAGACTGCAACAAAAATATGTATAGAAAGACTGACACTTGATCAGGCAAACGGAGCAAACTCTGTTTTGGTGTATTAGTTTGTCACAATCATTTGCATGGACAGTGTGATTTCTATTGAATTGCTTACTGTTGAAATCCTTAGATACACTGTGTTTATATAAGGAAACTTCTGTCGAGGGTTTTTCTTTTTTCCATTTAGGAATGGTGCACCATTCCCTACTAAAATATGTTCTTCCAGTGCTAGCTAGATCATTACTAGTTTTATTCGTTTGCAAATTTTTAATTTTAGCACTTTTCTAGGATGTGAAAAAACTATTGGAGCAATAAGGAAATAAATTTTAGTTGTGAAATACAATATTATTGGGAATTAGTGTTCATCACAAAATCATAAAGGGTGAAATAGTATATTATTTTCAATAAACGCTTTTTGGCAATTTTAGCATCTATCTCAAACCTAGGATGTAATGAGCATTTTCTATCTGGCCTATATTTTTCCTGTTAATTTCTAGCATTAAGGAGTATTTCACTATAACAGAAGGATTTATGTGGATTTAAAGTTTTCCATTTAAACCAAAAGTCTTATCCTTAAGTTTATAAACTAATCTTTTAAACTGATTTGATGACTTAAAGTAGTTAAATAGAAAGACAATAGTATGTCTTAAACATTCTAATGCAAGGAGTTTTCTTGGGTACCAACCACTGTTTATATAATGGACATGTATCCAGCTGTCTGAACTAGAAATAAACTCTTGGTGCAAATGATTTTAGAACTGTTCTGGCACAGCATATGTATACAACAGGTGAAAGTGCCTCCTTAATTTTTTTTTTTTGTAAGAATAATTCTTTCAAATTAAAGATGTTTAGCTGCCTTAATTCTGTATGGCTAAATAAAATCTGTGCAGTACTAGTTTAATGATTTACACACTCCTACATGGTGTACATTTAAGTGAGGCATGCAGTGCTGGAGCTTTGGAAGAGAAAGAAGGGATGCTGAATTTTAGGGAAGATTGATTTGTTAGGGAAAACTACTAAATTCAGCATGGGACTGTTTGAATACCTTGTTAATTCTTTGATGCGTATGCCTTAATTATTGCAGAAGGAATGTCTTTCCCTGCAGGTCTTCATCCTTCCTCTGTTTGCTCTCACTGCTGCTTGTGGTTGTTTTTTGTTTTGGTTTGGGTCTTTTTGTGTTTGTTTTTTTTTTTTTTTTTTTTGGTCTGTGTATGGGCTGGAGAATTTGGACCTCTTAAAGGTTGAATTTGTTCTCTATCAGTGTCTGGCTGGTGTAGGATTTCCAAAGGGCAGGCATCAGTATTGATGTGTGGGTGTATACAAGAGCAGGTACATTGATCAGAAGTGGTTTTGCTTCTTTAGTCGACAATACCAACTTATTATGCTGTGTTTTTCTGTCTCTTGAAGGGTAAGGTGAATTGTCTTAACAGAACTAGAATGATGATCATTGAGGGAGAGAGTGAAATCTTCTGAAACCACCATTGGAAAGCACTGCAAACCCATTTGCTTGGTGTCCCACTGAATCATCAGCATAAGTTCTCTATGACCTCACCCGTCTGCTCTCTTTGGAAAAGAGAGAAAAATATGGAAGTCTTTCCATTCTTCAGATTATACTGTATTGTAATACTTCAGTGTTACTGAGTGACATTAAACAATCCACATATAGTTAAAATAAGCAGTTCAAGTAAGGTACTTTTCTTTTTTGACTATTCAGTTAAAACCTATTCTTTCTATTATAATTCTTCTATGAAGTTGAAATGCCATGTCAGCTGTGCTGGTTGCTGTGCAATCCTGTTTTCAATAACTTAGGTCTTTAGACCCTTCAGGTGTTCTGTGTTTATTTATATGGTCACTTTAGTATTTTGTCTTTTAAAAAAAGAGCTGTTGTGTTTATAAAAATGATTGTACTATACTACTTCTATTTGCCAGAATGATTATAGCATCATAGAGTCATTTAGGTTGGAAAAGACACTTAAAATCATTGAACATAAAAACTGTGTGTTATTCAGGGAAGTAAGCAAACACTAATACATGCCTTTCGCTTGGTCTTCATATTGAAGGAATTCTGGTGCTGTTACTTTCCTCCTCATTTTTCTTCAACTTTCTTGAGATTGTATGTGTTCCTGAGTTTGTGGAAACCATTCTTCAAGGGCAGCAGGTGCAGGACATTCAGGGTGTGAATCTCTAAGAAGGACTAGAGGAAAGGCCACTTTCCTTACAGAAAGACTGTACTTAGATCTAGATGGTGAAGCTTGCTTTTGAGTTGCACATCCTGAAAGTATTGATCTTTAAGGCTGAGACTGTGTATGCTTTGAATTTTAATGTTCCTCTCCATTCTCTTTTTCTAGCTGGAACACTCACAGCTTTCTCTAGAGGATTGTAAGTTTTGATATTCAGAAGACTGAAGGATGCCATCTGAGAGGTGCCTGAGGTATAGTACTTGGTAGTGTGTAGGAAGTTATTAACATTTAGGTTGATGTTTACCAAAGATTCAGTTAAGAAAGGAGGAAAAAGTAAAAATACTAGTTTTGTTCATTAGATAGGAACTTGCATTATTAAATACATATCCATGTTATAATCTGCAAAGTATTATCTTGTTGTTGCTTCTTATCTGAGGCAAGGAAAACTGTGCCTGGGATTGATTGGAGGCCCACATTCTCTTCATACCTTAACTTGTTTATGCCTTAGTCTAAACTTGGAGTTTTTGATTGTGGAAGTAGCTGGCATTTTTTGCATCTAGAATGGGGGCTGGTGATAATTTTGGGTCTGTGCAGTGTTCCACTGTTCGGGATATATTATTTTTCCAGTTACGTGAAATGTCTTCCAAAGTTCTCTCCAAATTCATCTTTCTGCCTTCCCTTCTGTCTCCTTCCCAGTGTAGCCTTTCTCATTTGTTTGTACCACCCCTTCTTGCAGTAGAGAATAATTTAATTACTTTCTGGGAGAAGAACATGGTTCTTTCAGACAGAACACGCTGCAGAATTTATTAACTGAATTGGTTTTCTGCAGAACTTTGCAGTAGTGTGAAATGCTGGTAGTTCTGTTTTACAGAGTAGTTAACACTGATCTGGGAGCTCAGAAAACTCCCTGAGATGACTGGGACACCTTATCATTCCAGTTCTGTTCCCCTTTCCCTGCCATGCTTGTGCAGCAGAAGAGAATCAGAACTTTCTTGCTTTTATAGCTATTAAATTTATCAACTGCAAATATCATTACAAATAATCAGTCATGTTATGTTGAATTATTTTATGTATTTTCATTCATAAATTCCAGTTAAATTGCCTTTCTTATGTATGCATTCTTCATATGTTATTAGCACAAGGGTTACAGGCAATTGATTTTTCACTTTGGTCACTGAATTGAAAAATGGATTATGATAGAACTCTGTGTAAAATCCCAGATATGTTCTCTATTGAATGAAATAGTCCTCTGGATGATGGTGAAAAAAGCAAGAGGAATGAAGGTCTTGATTTACAACAGTGGGAGAGAGGCTAATAAAAACAGAAGTAAAGAGAAACCATCTCAGGGTATCATTAATGTATTGTACTTGTCCTAGCTTTAGTCACTTTGCCATAGAAATTACAGAAGAGAAATAACTGTTAAAAACAGTTCTCTTGTGTTTAGCAAGTTAGATTTCTTGATAACTGTCATTTAGAATATGAGTTGGGTTCCACAAACAGAACAGCTGAAGAAAAAGGAGTAATTTGAATGAGTCCTTTTGAAATGTATTTAGGGCATGTCCATATGTGAAACCTGAACTGTAAGAGAAGAAGTAAAATTCTTCTGTTCACTGAACACTCTGTTCCTGTGTTATTTCTCTTTAGCCAGCTTTCTTCTAGAAGTAATGTTTTAGTTGTTGTCTTTCTAAAAGAGCAGGTTAGACTAGAGCAAACAGTCTGCATGGCAGGTCTGCAGGAGTTTACAGGTGCCTGAGGTGCAGGAGTAGGATGGGCAGAGAAAGGAGAATATCACAGCCACACAGCTGCTGCATAGTACATGTATGCAGTGAATTACATAACTGTGCTGGAAAGATCATGAGTTATTCACCCCTTTAAACAAATCTTCCCTTTGATGTCTGCTGAGATGACTCTCTGTAAACTCACCTTCTATAAACACACATGTGGATTCTCTGCCAATTTAAATTTGTAGTCTCACAGAGCTCAAATCAATTGCATTGTTTTGTAGCAAAGAGGATTTGCTGATATGTTTTGATTTGTTTCCATTTGCATCAACAGTTATCTTGTCTCTTCCTTTCACTACAGAGAAAGGAAGCTGCAATCAGGCAGTCCTAGCAGTCCTAGCCTGGATTATATGGGAAACTTATATTCATACATGGAAATCTTCAGAGGTGGAGAAGGCGTTGGCATTTTAAAATTGAGCAAACATCCTCTCCCTTCCCCCAACACAAAACAGACAACCAAAAAAACACTTCAACTCTTCATAAATATGAATAGCCTGAAGTGGTTATTCAGACCACTTCATTCAGAATCAGACTTAAACAGGCCATCTGAGACCATGAGGCATCATACCTTTTAGTAGAACTTCTGGCATGCATACATATACCTTCCTTTTCATCAGTCCTTCAGTTTGAACCACTTAAAGTTTTCTGGTGATCCATTGACCTAAGCCCTCTATTGTTCTTATTTAATCCTAAAATTAATTAATCCTGTGAGTTCAGCTGACTTCTGGTACAGGAAATGAGAAATCAGAACCATTGATGTTTTTAAATTTGAGTATATAATCAGTTTTCATAATGCTTTGTTACAGTGAGCTTTTCTTCTGACGTCTATGCTGTGTAAAGGTTTTTGCCTGACAGGGTTCATGACTTTTTTGCTTTCCAAGAATTATCAAACTTTCTTGTCTTGTTCTGTATTCCTGACAGAATGTGCTTGTTTTGTACTTTATTTTCATTTTGTTTTTGACAGAGTCTTTCCCCTTTCCCCTCTCAGTGTTCAGGAAATGCTGACAGGTCAGAGGCTTTGTCAGTCTAGCTCCCACAACGATGCTGTCCTGGCAGCTCTGAACCAACAAAGAAGTGATGGCATTCTTTGTGATATTACCCTTATTGCTGAAGAGCAGAAATTCCATGCACACAAAGCAGTCCTGGCAGCCTGCAGTGACTACTTCCGAGTAAGTCCCAAGATTTTTCTATTTATATAAGTATATTAAAAATTGTCATTGTGGAGGATGGAGATAATTATAAATATCATATTGAACAAGATTTATATTTGAACCTTTGGAAAATGCAGGATTATTGGACACTCTGTAGAGTATACAACTTTAAATATCCATAGGAAAGAAATGCTGAGAACGTAAATCAGATTTTTTTAATAATTATTTATGGTAAGTCTTCTCCTCCCTCTGCCTCTATCAGAGATAGTCAGTGTACATCTTTCTATGAATGTAATGCCCCAGTAAAGGGAGAAAGTGGAAGATATTTTAGTATATAGAAATTTTTGTAGAACACATGAGAGCTGTGATTAGAGGATGGTTGAGAGACTGAGGGAAGTCTTCACTGTGGCCTTCAGCATCCTCACAAGGGGAAGCAAAGGGGCAGGCACTGATGCCCTCTCTGATGACCAGTGATGGGACTCGAGGAAACTGCATGAAGCTGAGTTGGGACATTGAGGTTGGATATCAGGAAAAGTTTTTCACCCAGAGAGTGTTTGAGCGCTGCAACAGGCTCCCCAGAGAAATGATCACAACACCACACCTGTCAGAGTTCAAGAAGCATTTGGACAATACCCTTGGGCATGTGGTGTGACTCTTGGGGCATCCTGTGCAGGGCCAGGAGTTGGTCCTTGATGGTCCTGGTGGCCCCTTTCCAAGTCAGCATGTTCTGTGATTCTGTGATTAGAGTATGGAAGTATGGGGTGAGGGAGTTTAAATTTAATCTTTACTATGAGGCTGCTGAGACACTGGAACAGGCTGCCCTGAGAACTTGTGGATGCCCCATCCCTGGAAGTTTACAAGGCCAGGGTGGATGGGGCTCTGAGCAACCTGGTCTAGTGGGAGGTATCTGTGGCAGCGGGTTTGAAACTAGGTGATCTTTACCCTTTCAACCCAAGCCATTCTATGATGCCATGATAAATGCAATTTGTTTCAACTTGAGATTGGATTTTTGTCAGAGGTAAATGGTTGCTCTCAAAGAGGAAGCTATAATAATTTCTTTAATGTGATAAAACTTATTTTCAGAAACAAGTGTTTCCAAGATGTAAAATAAAATATTCCCTGGGAAATCTGATTCAGACAATTCCAGTCTAATTCCAGTCCAGAATTGGAGTAACTGAAAAATCATGTTTGCTCATAGGAAAAGTATCCTTTATATGAGGCAGTTCTACTAATCTTTATTACAATGTGCCCACTCAAAATGTTGGACCATCTGTAGCTGTGTAGTTCACTGGTATTTTTGAGTGTGAGTCATCCTGTTGTTAATTAGAGACTAAAGTTGAAATTAATTTAAAGGTCTATTTTCTCTTACAAAGTAAATTTATTAAATATTTTGTCTACACAGTAATTGTAGTGTGATGAACTTCGTTATGAGGATCTTTTTGTCTTGTTACAATAGTAATACAGTGTATGACAACTTCTCTATATCTCTGATTACCTGAGCAGGGTTTTTATCTTCCTGTCAACTGTCTCTGACTTTTGCTTATAATTTAGACTTAAATTATTCTGTGTATTTAAGAAATGTTATTAACCTTGATGTGACTTTTGCTGTGATGGTGTTGAGCCAATTGATTGCTCATTTTTTGAGCTGATCTGCATGCCTATGGGTTCTGCTACAGCATGGTTTGTACTGCCACAGTTGCTGATGTTGCTTCATCGTGATGCCCAGGCCCTGCTATAACAGAGATTGCTTTGCATTTTCATTTCCTTTAACCCCAGTGCACAGAGAGGGATTCTGGACCTTTCTACTTGCAGCAACTGCTATGTATACTTGCAGTTATAAATATAGCTCCTGTTCTGGTTTGGTTGAAATATTTTCATAGGGGTGCCATATCATCTGCACCTGTGACACTCTTTCCAGAGCTTATTGTTCCCTGTGCACAGACCCATCATGGAAAGAGCACCTCTGCCCAGTGTTTCAACCTCTGCCCATGGTGGTAGAAACAGCCTCTGCTTTGGTCACTTATTGATTCATGTTGAGATTTGGAGCACTGTGATTTATCCTGTTATTTCCAGTTGAGTTACTTGGTAATGACTGGACAGTAGCTGCAAGTTAAAATCTTAATGCCCTTTATTGCTACATAAATATTTTTTATCTTAAAAGCGTTGAGATTTATGCAGCATTGAATAATTTGGTCTGCCTCTAAACTCTTATGGTTTAGTAGGATGCATTCTTCAGACTTTAGATATTAGCTATAAATATGGAACTCGTGCTTTCTGAAATCAGGAAAACAGGTTTTTATTAATAGACAAAAATCTTTTTTTAGAATATTGTGAAGATCTATATTCTGGAGGAGGATGGCAAGAAAGTTATACTATGTTCCTAATTCTAATAATTTATAAAAAGCAAGAGTCAATTGAAAAGTAATAATGTTTTGAGAGAAATTATTGATCTTTTTAAATATAGGGAGATTTATTGATATTTTTATATCTAGGGAGATTTTACCTAAATTGAGCTACTTGGGTATTCCTTTTCTAAAACTTAGAAGAATTAAGCTTCTTCTTCTAAGACTTAAAAGAATCAAGCTTAATTTTAGAGTTGGTAAAAAGAAAGAGGCATTTCCAGAGGATAATAAAGGAAAATAGCAGATTTATTCAGAATGACATGAATGATGATCTGGAAGTGCTGGATCTCTCTCAAGTGGCCATAAAGGCCAGAGTCACGTGCTTCAAACTTAGCTGTTGTTATTATTATATAACTTTTACCCTTTTTTTTTTTTTTCCTGGAGGAATTCTTAGACAAAACTTTCAGATTTTCTGATTCTAACCCCAAAGTCATTTATGAAGAACTCATTGCCATGTGGAACTTGCCAGGATGGACCTACTGCTGGCCAAGGCTTAACCAAGCAGGGGAGGATAGTAGCACCCCTGTGATGTGTTAAGAAGGGGGAGAAAAAGTTACTGTACAGATGTAATTGTGTTCAGAGAAGAGCAGGGTGAGAATATGGGAGAGGAACAGCTGTGCAGACCCCAAGGTCAGTGCCGAAGGAGAGACAGGAGGTGCTCCACGTGCTGGAGCTGATGTTCCCCTGCAGCCCCTGGTGCAGCCCATGGTGAGGCAGCTGTGCCCCTGCAGGTCCATGAGGAGGCAGAGATCCACCTGCAGCCCCTGGGAGATGCCCTAGCCAGAGCAGTGGATGCCTGAAAGAGGTCTGGGGAACCCTGGGAAACCTGTGCTGGAGCCAGATCCTGTCAGGGACCTGCAGATCCATGGAGAGAGAAGCCCATGCTGGACTTTGCTGGAGTTTCCTGGTAGGACTTATGACCCTGAGGGGAATCCAGGCTGGAGCAGCCTGTCCTTGAAGGACTGCACACTATGGAAAAGTGACCCACACGGCAGCAGTCTGAGGGGATCTGTTGCCTGTGGGATGGACTCACACTGGAGAAGTTCATGGAGAGCTGTCTCCCCTTGGAGAGACCCCACAGTGCAGCAGGGGAAGGACTCCACGCCCTGCACAGCGGCAGAAACTGCTGGTGATGAACTGACCACAACCCCCATTCCTTGTCTCCGTGCACTGCTGCGGGAGGAGGGAGGGATGGGAAGGAGGAAGAGGTGCAGGGAAATAGTTTTAAAGGTTTATTTTACTTCTCACTGTCCTGTTCTGATTTTGTTAGTAATGAATTCTGTTAACATCCCCATTTTGAGTCCATTTTGCCCATGATGGTATTTGCTGAGTGATCTCTCCTGTTCCTTATCTCAACTCATGAAATCTTCATTATATTTTCTCTCCACTGTCCATTTATGAGAAAGCAGCTTTGGTGGGTGCCTGGCATCCAGCCAGCATCAGTCCACTACAGTCTTTTTTCCAGGTCTCCAAAAATATGTTCAATTCTATGCAGGACTCTTATCAAAATGAATAATTTGTTTTTACTTTTTTGCCACTATTGTAAAACAGCTTCTATAAGAGACTGGATGTTTGCTTTCCATGGAGGGTTTGTATAATTTTCTGCAGTTTTGTTCTGTGTCTACTTTGATTAAATTGTAGTGTTTTCTTGAGCAGTATATTTTCTTAGAAATTGATACTTATGTCTTTCTTTTACTGGAAAGAAAAGTTTGTTAATGCTTTAGAAGAATACCTAAATGTGTGTCATTTTACAGACTGGGGCAATTGGAGCCACTTGTGTGAGGAAGAGTGGACAGAGAAGGCCAGAAGTTTCCTTATCAAATTTTTTTTGAGATTATAGTATGGAGTAAAATCTTTGGCTTTCCTAAGACAAACTGGAGACCTGAGCTTCAGCAAAATAAAGGCCAGCCTTCCAGGAAACCAGCAGGCCTTACATTCTTCCTGTTGGTGTAGTTAGTGTCACAGTTCCAGCTGTGCACAAACATTGAAGTTTAAATCCTAAGAGCAACTCCTGGTTTGGAAGTTTGTTACATTTTTACACCAAAATTTTGTGGGTTTTCTCTTTATGAAAAAAAAGTCCCTTAGGGAATTGGATACAAAGACTCTGTACACAAAGGTAAACTGCAAGATTAGACACTTGAAATTTAGGAATTTAAATTTATTTTCTGCTCCTGAAGTACCTCTTCTTTCAAAATGTCTTAAGGAATATAATGGTTATCTCCATACTCTAAAAGACTACTATAAAGAATAGTAAACATCTATTTTTATGTGTTTTTTTAAAAGCAAGAAACATCATTTTAGACAAACTTTTCCTTATTGACATGCTGTGATTTGCCATTTGTCTCAATCTATTGCACTGAGACAAGACATTCAAGTTAATATGTGTAACTGTGATTGCTCTAGCAAGCTAAGTCATTTCCAATTAAAAGATTCCTCTGCTTTTTTCCCCTCTGGGAGCAAGATGAAATGTTACTGCATGACTTCATTAGTAGGCATTTACAGTGTTGGCAGGTGATTATATAACCTCAAGATTTTCTTCTACAAAATGCATTGGTTTTACAGTCAGAAAAACTCTTCTTCCCTGCTTTTCATTTGAGTGGGTTTTTAGTTGCAGGA